ATGGAAGATAATTGGATTACTATAAAACGTACATTGTAACAAATTAGTTCTTTCTTGACATCAATCACAGACACTGACTTGGCAATTCACAATCCTTAATTAATAATAATACAATACTACAGCGTTCCATGGTTAAGTCATCATCTTTGAAAAATTTATTAAGGACGGAAAGGAAAGTGAACTCCTTGTCATTGTGACATACATCACTGCACACAACGAAATGTGACCTCTGCATTTAACCCATCACCAAAGTGAACAGCTGGCAGTTTTTTGAGTGCCCAGGGAGCAGTGTGTGGGTACTGAGAGCACCTCAGTGGTAACTTGGCAGCTGGTGGATTGGAACTTGCAATCTTCCGGACCCAAGTCCACTTCCTTAACCACTAAGAAAGTCTTGTTCCTTCATTCTGACGTACGATGTTAAAACCTGCCATCAACTTTGCAGGGGATCTATGTGAAGTGGACAGATACATTGTCACGACGTGCTATGCACAGAAGACGGCTTTGTTTACATCAAGCCATACATTGGATTGTTCTACATTTGCTTCCTTTCATTTATGTGGCTTTTAATGGCACCTTTTTGCCTTTCATTATGACTCCCAAGCATAAGTCAGACTTTTCTTTTGGTTTTATGTCTGAGATTATAATGCTACTGCTGTGTGAGCTTAGGTTCTTATGTACAGTTTGTGAAAATCAAGCTTAAGAACCATAAGAATGGAACTCCTACGTAATTCAAGGACCCCCGTGGTCTTTTTCTAAGACCCAATACAAAGAGTGTTTTTGTCAAACAGTAAGGCACTTTGAGCTACATGATTGTATAAAATGTGCTATACAAATAAAATTATTATTATTATTATTATTATTATTATTATTATTATTATTATTATTATTATTATTATTACTATTATTATTATTTGTCACTTGGGCTGACGAACAACCATTAGCTCAAAAAAACTAGGTCAATCACTTAGTACTCCTCAAACACAAGCAAATACTTGAAGTATTTAGGGCTCAGGGAAGTCCTAAATTTGTCCTATTCAGCACCTAGTATTAAGAAAAAAATATTAAACAGCAGATTTCCTCATTTTTTAATGTGAAAGTTTATGTTTTTGCCCTTAGCTATTTAATACTACTAAACAATGTACATTTGCAGTTGCTGTGCATAAAATGTTTATTTATAGAAATTATTGTTTGCCTTATTTTGGTCTTCATGAACCGGCACATTCAAAATCTTTAAAATACCTATCTAATATGGTTTTGAGTTCTATCATTCATTCAGAAGGCGATGTAAGCTTAATGTTAAGTGCAGATAAATAACAGATGGAAAAACATTTGTCAAAACGCTATAAAACTAGGTTCTTTAGAATAGCTTGTATTGAAGGCTACTGTATACTGTATATTAGGGATGGCTGTCTACTGATACCAATATCAATCCTTCTTTTCTCCACAAGCGTGCTGGACATTTGGGCTTAGGTACCAGATTGACTGGGCTATAGTTGTTTTTTATGTTGTTTTAATTTATTTATCTTTCATGTTATACCAATACCAATCTTGAGTATCAGATTGAGCAATCCCTAATTTACTAACTTTCTTATCTAAAAAGTCAAATTTTCCTTTCTTGTGTGCTATGACTGTTTGTTTCCTTAGGAACCCACTCACAGCAGTTCTAGCATAATTTGAAAATAAATCATTACTCTAAAATAGCCTATGTGTGTTCCTTGCCACAGATCTAACAACAGAGGCTGACACACATCACCCTTGCAGTGATTCACTCTTCAGTGGGCTATGACAAACATGCCCTCTTAACCTTTTCTCATCAGCCCCTAAAGAACCAAGCTTCTCTCCTCGAGGGGATTCTGTGAAAGTACAAGCTTGACCCTGAGCACATTCACCAGCTTCACAGCTGGGCTCGATGAACAGAGCAGGGTTCTCAGAAAGACAAACTGGGCTTTATTTCTTATAAATAACGTACAGATACTGTTTATCAAAGCTGCTAGCTGTCTAGACTGTGTTAACCCAGCCCTGTCCATATCACCTTGGTTTTCTGTACATTTGCAGGCTCTCATGGAAACACATTGTAGGCTTAAAATAAAAAAGTACCATGAGTCATTTTTGCCATGAGCCTTTGTTACCGAGGAGCACCCTACAGTGACACAAGTGAACCCGTCCCAACCTTAACTAGGTTATATGAAAGTCGCAAGGAAATAGAAAATGTAGATGAAACAGATCTTTCATTTGTGTGTTTGTGTGTGTGTGTGTGTGTGTGTGTGTGTCTCTGTGTGTCTGGTTATAGAAGAGGAAGCAAATGAAGTTGGGCTGATTGCTAATAGGAAGCAACTCATGGACTCATGTGGTTTCTAATTTTAGGGCAGAAAGGAATGTCCTGAAGATAGCGCATTATTGTACAGTGACGTTGCTAAAAAAAAACAAACAAGTTAAAAAGGTCAAATAACTTTATATCAAGTTATCAGATACGAGCAATTCCTAGGAATTGTTAAGGGACACTGTTTTTCCATGTGTCACAGGTGGCTAATGGGATAACACACTTCTGACACATGGTTATGATGATGTCATGTTTGAGTTTGTGTCCCCTGTGTCTGTCTCTCTACCATCTTCAAGACTTTCACCAGCGGCCGGTACATTTAGTTGAGTTGCATTTGCATAATTAGCTCATAAGCGCTAAAACGAGAGTGCTAAAATGCACACCTTGCCTTTTGTGTCGTTGGGACACAATAAGTGGCATGTGCATGTATCACCAGGGAATTGGCGGTGGCAGTGTTTGGCTAATAAGCCTTATGAAATAGCCTAGAGTCATCCAATTAATCCCATAATTAATTGACAGCCCTAATTTTTTTTAGAAACAATGATTGTTGGTCAGTAGACAAAGATAATGTTTTTAGTAGTCAAAATATGTTTTCATCCTCCTGGCTTATTTGTCTTAACTATGACAAACGGGACAGATACATATTTCATTTTCAGACTTTTTATACACCTTCAACTTGTGCTTTGTATGCTAACATTGCCAACTTTGGTCAGAAGGCAGGAATGAGATTTTGAGTGTGGGGTGAGGCAGGGGGCACTGTGTGAGGCTGCTATTGCTGCTCCAAGCAGATCGAGACTCATTGAGTGATATCTACTCCTGTTCTCTGCTTCTTTCTCCATACTTTTCTTCCTCCTATGCCGTCGCTCCAGTTTTTCTGTTTCTCTTTCTGCTGAGGTAGACGACAACACAGAGTCTGGATCTGGTGGAGATTTCTTCCTGTTTTTCTCCTCATCATTGATAAAATGCTTGCTCAGTGTGCAACTGTAACTTTATTCTGTCTTAGTTTTTACTGTTGATTTAAATTCATTACAGACTTTGACTGAACAGATCTCTACCCCCCTCCCCCGTTGAATGGGTCTTTAGGAGGATATCTTGAGTATAATGTTATTTCTAATTTAAAACTGAGATTTAAAACTTTCTTCCAATGAGAAAAATGTGCTTTGGGATTTTGGGCTATACAAATAAAACAGACTTGACTTGAGTTGACTGTGTGCACTTAAACATGACGGGCTCAATACACACTGTGTTCCACTTTGGTCAGCTGAAAAACGAGACAAGAATTAAGATGTCATTGTATGAGAGGAAAAGAGCATAAACTCTCTCAATCTAATCAATCTGGATTTTCTTTTGAAAAACTATGGGGGAAATTTGATGAAGTAATGAGTTATGCAACAAGAACTGATCCACCTTCATTTACTTCATCTCCGCAGTCTGGTTGTGATACATTTATCATTAACTACTTTGACCTGGCAAACCAGTGAAAATGAGTTTCACACCCCTGACATATATGATTCATGAGCCTAGAAAAAGAACAATAAAATGCCAAATATAATCAGTGCAGCAAACAGTTTGAAACTACTGCACAAGCGTCTCTTCTGGTCACTTTATTGAAAAGATCTAAACTTTTGTTTCATATTTAAGGCTGCCATTTGAGCTCCTAATGCGTCATTCGTTCATCTGGTCCACCATTAACAACCACATAAAACAAACTTCAGCACATACCACACTGGTCTTCCCCCTTTGTTCATTTTTGTTTTTGTCAGGCTGAGTGGCTTCCTTTGAAATTCCTGTGGACCTGTCTGAAAAAAAAAAACATTAATCACCAATCCCTGCTCTGTCTACCAGATGCCTGGTGAATAGTAATATAAGGAATGTTGGAAAGGGCAACTAAATTTGGTATTTGGCTGTGTCACTGGTCAAAATTAATTTGTAGACTGAATGTTTGACATATAAACTGATATTATTATAATTAACAAAAAAAGAACAACAACACAGCACTGAGTAACGAATGTCTTGTGTAAAAATTAAAAATGTGTGTGTGTATAAGTGTGCAATAGTTGTAATTAATTAATTACAAAGGCACTAATTAATAGGGCTATTAAGTCACACCACTGTTTATACATATATATGTATATGTACTGTATGTATACACATATGTATATATGTGTATATGTGTATAAGTATATGCATATAAATATATATATATATTTGTCCATGTTTATATGTACATATGTGTGTGTACGAGTGTGCAATTAATTGTAATTAATATTACAATTAATTAATAAGTATTAAGTCACACCACCATTTATACATAAAAATCTATATATATATATATTTGTCCATGTTTATATATACGTGTGTGTATGCACAGTTACAAACGTAATACTGTTCAATTATTATTAGCACTCTTACAGTACCTAGCAGTAAAACAAAAATAAATCACCACCCATTTGTAAAGGAGTGTCTAAGTCTGAAGGTTTTCTTCTGTTGAGGAAAACACACAGAGTACTCAGCAGACCAGTGACGAACCTGCCTGAGGGAGACACATAACTAAGCGGTGTGTGTTCTAACCAAGTACGGGAAAAGTGACTTTTCATGTGCTCGGTCATGTTCTGGCAGATGAGATAAAGTGAGAGAGGCAGAATGAGGCGTGAAGGAGAGAGAGAAAGGAAGAAAGAAGGGTGTTTTGTAGGAAGTTTTTCCAGACAGTGTCAGATGACATCATTGTCTGTAATAGTGGGAGTGTGGGTGGAGGGTGGAGCTTGTAACCTCCCAGCTGCACACTATAAAAATGCCTAACTTATGTCAGTCTTCCAGACATCAGCCGCAGCAAAAGAGCAGACAGAAAATTGCGAGAGAGACAGAGACTACAAGGTAAGAATCACCACAGGATTATATTATCATAAGTTAAAACTAAATCTCTGATCTTAAAAATGTGTTTTAAATGTACTTGTTTTTATTTTTGTTTTATTTAATTTTTGCTTTTAGTTTATACCAGCTGTTAACAGTTACAATACAATATCACATAGTAAAGTGGGTGCAACTGGTGTGTCCTTAACAACTGTTTTAAACTCATCAAGTAAATTATTACAAAAAATAGTTTTTGAAAATGAGAAAGAAAGTGGTAAAATGACAAAAATCGATATTTCCTCACAGTTTTTGGAAACTCAATATATCTAGTTTAATTTACTTAAACACTTAATTCTGAATTAACTGAAATATGTATTGCCAGATTTGAAGTTTTTTGCATTGCATCCAATAGCAACAACATTGTTAATTCTTCTGTAGCTTATTCATTTTTAACCTTATCTGTTCTGTTTGTAAGTGTTGAGTGTGTAAAATTGATTTTGAAATGTAACTTAAAGCTTTTTACAATTTGAAATCCTCATTTTGATGGTAATTATCATCCATTCCTATAAAATAATAATAATTATTATTATTATTAATATAGCTGTAAACATTTTTATAGATTATTAAATTAATAAACCTTTACAAAAAATCTAAATAGTCATAATAGCAGTTTTGTAAGATTAAGATCCAAAATTGTAAGATCCACTAGTTGAATTGAATATTAAAACACATATTATTTCACTTACTATACATTGACTTGACTTATTCATTGACAATATTCAATGTATGACTGGTCTGATTTTCACAAACAAACTCACTGGTGTTACGTCATCATGTCTAGTGCTGCTGTGAACTTTTTGTCCAGGGGATGTTAATAAAACATTAAAAAAAATCATCTTGTTTCTTAACTCACTTGGGTTTTACAAAAAAACACATGACATGAGGGTAAAACAATCCTTCATTATTACACACCAGATGTTTCCTGCCTCATAAGTAGAAAGAGGAAAGGTGAAAATGTCCCACTTTTTCATGTGCATCTGTGACTCCGATGGGAGCAATATTGTTCTTTCCACACGCGGATGTTCAATGACATGTTTGCAAAAGTCTGCTCTGCAGTGTTGATACAATTACAGGAATGATGCATTTCAGATGATTTCCTTTTAGCTAGTTGCTATGACAGTGAATGTGAAACAAAATAGTGTTAACTTTCTCCTCTGCGTGTTACAGTAAAGTGTACTTGCAGTTAACTTTCGTCCACCTTCCCTTCTGTCACAGGATGCTTTGCGTTTACATGTTCCTGTTGCTGACCCTTGGCAGAAAAGGGTTAGCATCTCTGCAAGACAAGCAAACTGACTTTGGTCTGAAGCTGTTCTTTCAACTGAGCCAAGACTCCTTGGACAGGAATGTAGCCGTCTCCCCCTATGGCGCTGCCTCTGTGCTGTCTATGGCTCAGCTTGGCGCTGCTGGAAACACCCGGAAGGTGTTAAGAGCTGCGCTGGGCTTTTCTCTGCAAGGTGAGTCAAATGGAGATACCTTGGGTATTCTTTTTGGGGTTAAAATTGTTAGAAAAAAATTACTACAAAGGAACAATATTCCTCACCTTATTAAATGCAGCTCTTCCATACATGAACATACATACGGAGAATGTTTTTGTTTTGTTTTTTTCCTGTAGCAATGTATTCATAGCGGGGTGCCAGATAGCAAAGATTGTGTCGCTGTGTCAGGCGAAATTATGAAAATTAAATTACTTATATCATGTACTTTGATATATTACATGTTTTCAAATAGCTTAAGGCTTAGCAAAGGTGCCCAATAAGTCAATCAGTATCTACCAGCAGATTGCAAAGCGAGTACTGGGAAATCATGAGCAATTAAAATAAAAAATGGATATAGAGTGATCCCTCTCCTATCGCTGTGGTTGCATTCCAAGACCCATCGCAAATGGGAAAAATCGCGAAGTAGAGGCAAGATAGTTATTATAGTTATTATTAATATAGTTATGGTTATTATATTTACATATATATTTACCCTTAACGAACCTCCCCACACTGTTATCAACAGTTGTACAACAACAACAGTGCTCAACATATATATACTGTATACATATATATGTATAGAGTATATATATATAATAGCCTAATTTCCATCAGTGTCGTTTTTGACCCGGTATGGAAAATGTTTTTATTTTGCATTCTTGATTCAGCAAAGGTTCGCCTTCAACCAATCTTTTTTCTTTGCCAGTCTCTTGTTAAACATTTCAAGCATTGGACAATGTCCTGCGTTATGTTTCATTTATTCATTCCATCTACGCCCCCCAACTCCTCCCCCCTGCAATTGCACTGCGACACCTTGGGGCGTGCCCCCCACTTTGGGAACCGCTGATATAATCTAAGAGGAGATTACCGCACCATAAAGCGCACCAGGTTATAAGGCTCATTGAGCAAAACATTTAAGCGAAAAAGAAGAAAAGCCAGATTAGAGAAGCCAGATTGAGATGGTTTGGACATGTGCAGAGGAGAAACAGTGGATACATTGGTAGAACAATGTTAGAGATGGAGCTACCAAGTAGGAGACAAAAAGCAAGGCCAAAGAGGAGAAATATGGATGCAGTGAGGGAGGACATGCAGTTGGAGTCAGAGTAGAAGATGCAGAGAACAGGGCAATTGGAAATCAATGATTCACTGTGGCAACCCCTGAAAAAAGGGACAAAGCCGAAAGAAAAAGAAGAAAAATTAATCATGTCTGGATCCCTCTCGTCAATATCCGAGTCAGTCTTGTTGCTGTTAATTAGCTGTTCAGTGATGATTACGGCCTTTGTGAAAGCTCGAACGACATTTGAGACTGATACCTTGGGCCAGGCATCCACGATCCATTGGTAGATAGTGGCGTAACTCGCCCAGCGTTGCATACCTGTCTTGGTGAATGTGTGTTCGCCTTCTGTCATCCAATGCTCCCACGCAGTACGCAATTTAACTTTAAACACCCTGTTAACACCAATATTTAGTATTGGTTGTAATTATTTGGTTAATCCACCCAGAATGATGGCAAGCCCCAAATTAGTTTGCTTCTCTTGGATTTTGACAAAATCGGTGAGATGGGCATGCATGAAGTCGTATATCAATAGGGATGGTGATTTGTGGAAAAGGGTAGCGATCTAAGTTGGAAACAGGAGGGCACTGTTGTTGTTGTTTGCCCCTCCAGAGTCAGGCGGTTGTTACTATTTTTGTTTTGGATGGTCACCGTATTGTTGTTTAGACGTTGTTCCGTGCTGCGGATGTTGTTTTGCAGAGAGAGTGCGTGATTTGCCTGTAAAAAAAGGAGAAATAAAAAGAGTTTTTGACCACAAAAAAATCGACAGCCATGCGTCTGAGTTATCCTGCATCGCCCCATACTGACAATATTGACAATACCAAAACACAACGCAGAGTCTTTGGAGGCACGATGCGACGTTGCATGGATTTGGGTTACACAACCATACTGTAACATTTGTTATTGAGCATCTTCTAATTGTGATAACAGAGTTAAACATCGTTGTTGGCTCCCAGTGTGCTTCAGTTGTGAGCCATCATGCGTGATGCGCTGTGTGGTTTGGCTTTATAAAATCGGTTTGAGGTCAGTAAACACAACCAGAAGTAATACATATGGCGCACCGGGTTATAAGCTGCACTGTCGACTTTTGAGAAAATGAAGGGATTTAAAGTGTGCCTTATAGTCCAGAAAATATGGTATATTTAAATTTTGAGATTATTGCATTCCCGTTACACTGATAGTAGTGTGCAAATGCTTCAAATACATCATGATAAAGATGAAGGAATACTACAGCCTGAGTGTGAGTCAGTTTCACACTGATCTGTCCTGGGCCAGGATGCCGCTTCTGTGTTCAGCAATATTTGTATTTTAATTATTTAGATGTTCACGAGAATATTTCACGGCATCATTTAAATATTTTGGTACATACATCTGTGTTTATTAACAGATACTTGTGCTTGCGATAAATCTTCCGCAGAGCGCAGCGTTTCTCAACAGCAGCGTCTCCTGCAGCGGGATTTGTCCAATGAGGAGGGCATCGAAATTGCTAGTGGGGTCATGGTGGAAAGGAAAATGAGCCTGGAGAAGAGGTTCCGTCGGTCGCTGGCAAAGGCTTTCCAGACCCATCCTCACCAAGTGGACTTTACTAAGCCAGACCAGGCAGTCAATGTCATTAACTCATGGGTGTCGGACTACACTGCAGGTAAAGAGAACTCCCTGACCAGCAGCTGCTTTATACATAAGTGTATTGCTCTCTGTATTTTTAAGTGCCAACTGTTGTTTCCTCCGTAGGTGCCATCCCTGCATTCTTAGACCCTGGATCTCTCACTGATGAGACACGCCTGATCCTCTTGAATGCTCTCCACTTTCAGGCCCTATGGAAAGTTCCTTTTGACCAAAGACACAGCCATGAAAGGATGTTTCACTGTGCTAATGGGAGCACAGTTCCAGTGTACATGATGAGCCTCACCAACTACTTCAACCATGGTATTTATGTTGCCATTTCTGCAAACAAATCTAAGGGCCCTTTATGACAGGCACACTGCAAATGATCTCTACACCATTTAAACTTTTTAAACCTCGGAAGCAGAGAGCAGAGAGTCCTGGGTTCGATTCCCAGAGGGCATAACAGCATATCTTCTGCAAACACAGCTCCTTTACAAAGCATCTTTGGCCCATGTATGTTTGATACCCCTGACCTAGGGATTAACATCCTGATGTCAATTTTTTTTTTTTTTTTGACAAGAACCAAGTCGGTAAAGAAGGGTCACAAACTGTAGACAAACTATGAGGTGATACACAAACTGTATCACCTAATTTTCTGTTTAATGCTAGTGTTGATAGATAATAATAATAATAATATATTTTATTTCGCCTTTCTGTCACCCAAGGACACCTTACAGTGAATACAAAGTGTCAGGAAACTTTCTCTGTTAGATAGGACTGTAAAATATACTGTTAGTTCATACCCCAGTTTCCTAACACACAATAATCAAATATCAAATCAAATAAAGAATCAAATACGAGATCTCAAAGTTTTACAGCCATGCGGTGTTCACGGGCCACTTCTGAGCACTGATTGGTAAAGACTGCTCCAAACAAAGATTCTCCACCAATAGGAGCCATGTGCATGTGCTGCAGTTAATCAAGTCAGATAAGACCATGCAGTTCGGATGTTTTTCTCTCTTTGTCTTTTGTTGGTCTTCTGTCAGTCTTCTTATTTGGGCAAAGAAACTAGTTCTGGCCGGTTCTGTGTCCTGTCTCTATCTCTAAGTGTAACAGTCAGTACCATTCAGTGCTGTCCATATCATCCTGTTACGTAAACCATCAGCATGCATGAGAGCATGAGAGTAATTCGTTCGTAGTGAAAGATTAGTTCGCAGAGAGTGATTTGTTCGCAGTGAGTGATTTGTGAGTGATTCGTGAGTTCATTATGAGCAAATCTTCCATACTCGGGAGTGACTCGGGAGTCACGAGTGATATGAAAAATCACTCGCGAACGACACATCACTACAGGCTAGCACACCGTGGTCAACGACCTGGCCAGCGTCCCGCGGGGACTGCAAAAAAAACTGCAAAAAAAACCAAAAAAAAAAACAACCTAAACTATAAACTTAAAGTGAAGCTAAAAGATAAGGGTTACGGGCGAGCAGCGACAGATGCGGTTAAAAGAACGGTAATCTTTTAACCGTTCAATTCACACAGATTGTCTGCACTTGTCTGATTTAGGGTTTTTCATCAACAGGCGAGTTTGTGACTTCTGACGGTGTGGACTATGATGTCATCGAGGTCCCCTATGAAGGCGATTCAATGAGCATGCTGCTCGTGTCACCCTTTGAGCATGACGTTTCTCTGACGACTCTCAGTGCTGATCTGAGCAGTCAAAGGATCCAGCAGTGGAGAGCCGAATTCAGACGAGTCAAAAGGCAGCTGACTATTCCCAGGTACGGAAAAGAATTTGGATGTGAATCAAAATACTTCTGAGCAACGAGATGTCTAAAATGTATTTATGTGTTATCAGAATCATACAGTAAAATAGACAAATTGAGAATAAAAAAATAATACATTTGTGAGAAAAAAGTTTACATTATGAAACAAAAAGTCATAATTTTATGAGAATGAAGTCACACATTACGGGATTGTAGTCCACTTGGCATGATGCTTATTACAATGTGATACTGATGAGACAGAAGAGGAGGAATCTCCTTATTTATAATCTCTAAACCATACATCATGGCTGATCTCACAACCGTCCTGTAAACCGTTCCCTTCACCTTAGCTGACACTGTTCTATCAGAGATCACTTTTCTCCAGCTGTTGATCCTGCCTGCACTCTATTTTTCACTTTTCTTCCACAGTCTCCTCTGCTCTGAGCAGTTGATCCTAAGTACCTAAACTCCTGCACCTTCACCACCTCTGCTCCTTGTAACCTCACTGGTTCACTGTTCTTCCTCATTTACACACATATACTTTGTCTTGCTGCGATTGACCTTTATTCCTCTTCTTCTGCAAACCTCCACCTCTCTATGTTCTCTTCTCGCTGCTGCCTACTCTCACTACAGATCACAATGTCATCTGCAAACAACATAGTCCATGGGGACTCCTGTCTGACCTCATCTGTCAATCTGTCCATCACCAAAGCAAACAAGAAGGGGCTCAGAGCCTTGATGTAGTATCACCTCCACCTTAAAGTCTTCTGTCCTTCCAACAGCACACCTCACCACCACTGTACTATTCTCATACATGTCCTGCACCAATCTAACATAAGTCTCTGCCACTCCTGACTTCCTCATACGGAACCACAATTCCTCCCTTGGCACTCATATGCCTTTTCTAAATACAAATACACAATGCAGCTCCTTCTAACCTTCTCTGCACTTCTCCATCAGCATCCTCAAGGCAAATATTGCATCTGTGGTACTCTTCCTAGGCATGAAACCATACTGTTTTTCAAAAATCTCCACTTCCTGCCTCAACCTAGCTTCAACGCCTCTTTCCCAAATCTTCATTGTATGGCTCATCAACTTTATCCCTCTGTAGTTGTTACAACTATGCACCCTTGTGGACAATGACTGTTTTTTGTTATTCCTGCAGGTTTACTTTGGATTCAGAGGTGGACATGAAAACTGCTCTAGTTAAAATGGGACTAGGAAACATGTTCAACCTGGCAAGTGCTGACTTCACACGCATAACCAGTGAGTTTTTTTATTACATCTGTCTTGTCGTGTTTGGTGATATTTTTATGCAAATATTTGCAAATAACTACCTTAAAATATTACTTTGTGTTTTAGTAATGAGCAAGCACCCAGTCTAGATTAGAATGCTGTAATTTTAATATTAAGATGTCATGGAACTCATCTGTCATTTATTTGACTGTTTGCAGTGGATGAAAGGCTGTGTGTGTCAAAGGTTCTTCAAAGAGTAAAGATTGAGGTGAACGAACATGGAACCAAGGGAGCAGCAGCAACTGGTAAGTAATCACACGTGGATACCTAGTAGCCCAGGTGCCTCTGGTGTGATTTCTAACTATAAAACTAATCAACAAGAGGGTCAATAATTGTAGTGCTACTATGTTTTTTGAATCGTTACACTTGCAATGACATTCAAATGGGTGCAATGATGATGGTAAGAGTGTCTACTCTTGTATGTCCCAGAACTTAGTATGTAGCTCTTTGTATTACTCAGTGCCCTTGATGTAGCTCTAAAAAAGTTTGGTGACCATTGTATACTCTACTGAACATTTTCCCCACCTTTGTACTAGAAACTAATAATGGTACATTACAAAGGATTTAATTGATGTTGGTGTAATTTCACTCTTTACCTCTAATTGATAAACATTGGGTGTTGAGTTTAAACATGTAATTGTATGAGTAACTGGCACATGTTTAGCACTAAATGCTAAGTGGAAAAAGAGTGGGAAAATGAGCCTAATCCTATCACTGACGTTAACAAACAAGAGTTTTATAACAGCTTTAAGTCATTTATGTCCTTGAGTCTTTCTAGTGTATGTCTTGCTAAAAGAATATATTTTGTTTCGCCAACTCGCCAATTAATTTGGCCACACATGTTGTAAAGCTAAAAGCTTAAGTTAACCATGCTGTATTAGTAGCAATACTCAGTGTTTTTCCTTATGAGAGTTTGGACACAAAGGAAACAGAAAAGGAGTTGTATATTGGCGAGACAAGGAAATCGAGCTGGGAAGGATGCAGCAGGTGAGGTTGATTAAGGACAGAGATGGGAATGTAATCACAAGTGAGAAAAGTGTGCTGAGAAGATGGAAGGAGTACTCTGAGGAGTTGTTGAATGAAGAAAATGAAAGGGATGGTAAGAATGAGGAGCCAGAAACTATTAGGAAGAAGGTAGAGCAGATTAGAAAGGATTAAGTAAGAAAAGAGGATGAAGAGTGGAAAGTCAGTTGGTCCTGATGACATACCAGTGGAAGTTTGGTGCTTAGTGCTTAGGAGAAGTGGTTGTAGATTTTCTGACTAGGTTGTTCAACAGAATTATAGAGACTGACAAGATGCCTGATGAGTGGATGAAAAGTGTTATGGTACCAATCTATAAGAAGGGTGATGTGCAGAGGTGTAACAACAACAGAGGGATAAAGTTGATGAACCATACAATGATGATTTGGGAAAGA